CCCCCCCCCCCCCCCCCTTCCCCCGTGAATGTAGGTGGTCTGGGGTTTGGTTTAGGGTTGGCAATCTTGAGATGTCGCCGCGGTTTTGAGATCCCAATCCGCGCTCGCCTCCAGACCACACTATGCGAGGGCGAGAGAGGGGGGAGCGGTCATACCACGGGCGAGAGCGGGGGGCGACGTGGCACCACTTTTGTGTACAGTTCCTTCCTTTCTTCGTGTACATATCTATACACAAGCGCGCGACATATGGAGGTTTTTGGGTAGAGGTAATGTTCAGGAATGTCTCATACCATACTGGGGTCCGCTGTCGGGGTGTGTATTTGGGCTAAAACCACATATTTCTCGAAGAAGCAATACGCCCACATTGTAGTCTGTACTTTGTTAAGGCTTTTGGAGGCGTACTATTCTGTAGGATTCAGGGTTCAGGGGTTGCACGAGAGCTTGTTTGCAGGGCTCAGGGTTTAGGGGCGAAGTTGGGAGGTTTCGCCTCGTTGCAATCGACCCTGCCAAGATTGCAAGTACTGCTGGACGCCTGTTCGCTCCCTTTCCAAAGCCACGGCCCCAAACTCTCTGCGCATCTGTTGCCAATTTAAACTGCCCTCACCTCGAGAGAATACCAAGCCACCATGATCACCCTGAGCCTAGTTCAATCTATATGAAGGAATTCGTCCACTTCCCTGAAGCATGGCAAGGAGCACTGTGAGCTTCAGACATGGGACCGCTTAACTAGGCGACTACAGGGTTTTAGTTCAGGCAATGCAGACATTGAATTGTCAGGGCTTTTGGTGTGCGTAGGCCTGGTTTCCGGCATTCGTCTCGTCGTTGTAAAAGACGAGGTTGCCCAAAGCCGCAGCCGCCTCTTCCCGGACGCTGGCCCTGAGAGTCTCTCGGTTTGGGCTTTCAGAGTTGCGTCGACGTTGCATGGGTGGTCCTGGTCGGTTTGCCGTTGTCGCATTCGGGTGCTTCCTTGTTGCTACTGCCGCTGTTGTTGTCGTCGTTCCTCTTCGTGTACGCTTCCTTGTAACCCTGCTTTTTGTTTTCAATGGTTCGGTCGCTGCATCTCTTGGGGAGTCGGTCTTTCGGATCAAGGCAGCCCAGTTGGGAACAAGCTAGCAACGCCGGAGCCTTGATAGCCAGAGTCCAGCAGCAAGTGCATGCCGAAAGCTCCTCTAAACCCGGGTTCCCGCACATCTCGTCGTACAGAAGGCGAACCAAAGGACGGATGGCCCCTGCATGGGCCACTGCCACCTGCAAGCCCGCAGGGCTTATGAAGGAAGCTTTAAGGAGGCGTCTCCGCAATTGGAGCTCTGCGTCTTGTAACCGGGCATGGACTAGGGGCCGCAGGAGTGACAAACTTCGGGCAAAATGGTGGCATCGTGCTGCCATGCCTCATGGAACTCAGGTATTGAGAGCTTCCTCACAGTCTCTAGACAAGCCCTATGCTACAAAGTTAACGACGACGACTACAGCCAGTGCCGCTGCCACAAAACAGGAACACCCCACTGCTGCTGCTGCTGCTGCTGCTGCTGCTGCCGGTGCCAGAAAGATAACGACGTTAGCAATTGCAAAAGCAACAATCACAACTGCTATCACTTCTCATCAATCGGCCACTACATGATCGTAGCCGATCAGCCTCCAACTACGACTCCAAACTGTTCGGGAAGAACTTTCCAGAACTCGAACCAGCTTTTTGGGCTCTGCGATACAATGTTAGACAGGGCTGGCTGCAAGCCGTGCTCTAGGCATGTAAGGCTCAAAGCCCTAAAGTTTTTGTGTCCGCGTCTTGGGCCTGCGGCTTTAAATTCGGGTTTTTGGGGTTCTTATGCCTCTGCTGTTCGAGGGTTGATCCGGAAGCCCGACCACTGAAGCTCCGCCAGGTAGCGGCGCGTCCCCCCACAACAAAAGGACACGGGGTTCTCAACTCTTCTTAAACCATCCTGCAGTGGGAGAGATGGGCTGAGGGATGGGTCGATCTACCTGTGGGGAATCGTGGCTTGTCCGGTGCCTGGTTGTCGGCATTGTTCGTGGCAAGCATTCGCAAGGCAGAGGCCCCAGCTTCCCTCCTAAGTCAGCGGATTTGAGCAGGGTCCAGCTACAATATCTAATATAGAAGTATCATGGCTGCCATGGTTGAGCAGTTGGCTTGGGGCTATGGATCCTGAAATCCTGATGTCTCACCAATCCCTCGAAGATGTAGGCGCACTCCACCCAAAAACAACTCGCCGCTCTGCTTGCTTCCGCGGCACAGTTCCGGCGATGCCCGTTCCAGGAGTTGAACTAGTGGTGGAACAGCGCCGGCTTGGGCTATCATCATCTGTCATGCTCGGAGGCTTTCGGATGGCGGGTTGAAGGTTCCAGGAATCATGCTTTACAAGTAAGCGGAGGTACCCAGGTGTGATTACACAGTGACTATTGGGTGCAACAGACATAAAAAGATCAATTAGGAGCAAAGCAAGACAGTTGGGGGTTACTTCAAGTACCCTCCACCTAATCCTCCTCCCTGCAGCTGGACCCACCCGTTTTTTGCCTGCATTTTCCACCCCCTCGCCCGGCTTCCCTTGATTTT